CGCCTTATGGCTGTCATGAGGCGTAAAAAAATTCCTGCACCAGTAATGTAATGTCATTCATGAAATACAGTTCATCAATGCCCACTAAAATCAATAACGCCGTTTTTTGCTGAAAAGTTACGCTAAAATAAATGTAAACTACATCATACTTACCAACTTGATGCTGCACACCTGTAAACTCTGAATTTTGCTACTATGAAATTGCTGAACAAGTAATAAATGAAATACGTTCAGGCAAAAATGATTATATATAAGAAGAATAATCATACAATGGCGCTTAAAACTAAAATTTAACATTGCTAGTCACTTTCTTGCCACTTCATCATTAGCAAATTCATAAGAATTTCTAACTCCGGTTGTGGGAAAACGTTTATAATGTTTTTAATATGTTTTGAATGTAATTCTTAAAACCTGTACTAATGATTGCATATGGTATGTACCAATCTCGAAAAAGGTTGAATAAGSTGTTTTTACAAGAATGCCCCCACTAATAACAAATCTCCCTTCTCCATCCCGTCTAGTTTTGAAAAACGTGACAACCACAATAAGTAAATAAGAACATTAGATGTATAAGCCCTTTTATAGTATCTTGTCTTGTGTAGCTAGTATGTTTCTTATTAAAACAAATGAGGTGGCCAATTTTTTTTTGGTTGGAGAACGAATGATTCAAAACTATTGCTATTGGACGGTTTGCAACAAATTTACATTTCTTTAGCTACTAATATTTCGGGAGAGGCACCAGTAGTTATCTAGTTGGTGCCCTAGGTAGTCYGATTCTGTATATGCTTCTTCAAGATAGATCTGCAGCTTCTCATTCAATAGTTGTTTAACCTCCTTGTATTTCGCGGTTTAGGTTATTGGGCCGGCTGTTGAAATGATCTATAAGGTGCACCAAGGATTTAAAGCTGTTTTCCTGTACTTTAAGATGTTCTTTAACTATGTTTTAATATTAAAATACTTATTAGGTCGGAGCCCAAGTTATCGTCGTCTGCCATCTTACCTGTCACATGTCACCTATGAATGTTTATACTTCCAATATGTTAATGATAGTGACGAATTTTTGCAATAGCAAGGTCCAAACATTTCCCCCTTCCTTATAACCACATTTTGCTATGGACAATACAAAATAAATAATAAAAGACCTAAAGTAGCACCCTGAGGTACTTGTATGTTATACTCTGAGAATCTAGTAGAAACTGATTAATAGAACATTTTTATGTCCTGTTGGTCAGGTATGATGAAAACCATGCATGGGCTACACCTCCAATTCCATACAGATCTAGTTTATTCAATAGTATAGTGTTTTCAACGATATCGACTGCTTTGGCTACGGTTTACTACCTTAAAACATAGGGAGTATTTACTGGCATGATGTTGATAATCACAACAATAACGGTTACAGTAGCGAAATAATCACTTGCCATAAGAGGACTGAAATTGATTAGCTGCCTCCATAAAGGTGTCCGCGACAAATTGGTTGTAGTCAAGGTAAATGTTCACCAATAAATTACTGAGCCTCTGGTAAATAATTGTTTTAGTATCTTAACAAAGGTGGTTATTTGAACATAGATTTAATTCTAAAATTCGTATTCTTTTCAGGTTTTGAAAGTTTATAGCAAAATACACAATTAAAAAAATGTATACAGTTTTGAGAATGTATGTGTGTAATGCACTAAATCTTATGACTGGCCCAGCGGATAATAATGTTTATTCCTTCATAAAGCCCATACTTTTTATCATTATACCTGCCATGTAGGAAGTGGTACATATAGTCCCTTATGACATCATGGCCAATTAAAAACTCCCCCATGTTTAATATACAGTTACCACCTCCATCCACATCTATGGGGCCGCAACCACAACCAGCATTTCCAGTGATTACTAGAAAAGGAATAAAAAGTATTGAATTGCTGTCAAACGACACCTACAGTGTCTGATGCAGCCTACCCTCTGTATAACACTCTCAGTTTCTTTTAAAAATCAAATTCAATATCTTTTAGTAACCCATCTTGGAGCAGGTCTTCTTCATCAACGTTCAATTTAACTTTTTCGTCTGCGAAAAAGTTCTTCTGGAGAATTTGCAGCTCCCACTTGAGGTCCCTTTGTTCAAAGGCTGGTGTCAGTAGCTGTCATTATCATCATCATCGTTAGACACTGAAGTTTTTCCTAATAAAGCATTGACAACGTTACTGTGAATCCTTCAGAATGAAGGCAAGTTTCCAATTCACTTTTGCTTTGAAGTCCATGGACAATCCTACCCGGAAGCGGAATGGTTCCTAAAGTCATCCTCATCATCACTGCAATAAGTTAGATACAAGTGTATTTTAAATGAATACAAAAAAGAGGGGCAATGTTATTAACATGTCTTAACCCGAATCTAGATACCTACCTCAATAAATCTACATCGAGAGTTGCTTGACGCTTTAAAGAAAGAAAATAAGAATCAGTTGATATTGACATTTAAAAAAATGTAAATAATAAAAGATGAAAATCATGAAAGATCTTTCAGGACATCAAATTTAGATTTTTTTAAAGGCTGTATTTTAGATGTCAAATTGTGTCAAAGTGGATCCCATTGTTAACAATTGACTTTTTTGCAAATCCTGCTGCATTTGCTAGCTTATAAACTACTGCTATTTTTTTCTTGGACTTTTAGGAGGAGCCCTTGATACGTTTGAGATCGCTTTACCTAAAACTTGTGGTGTTTGATGCACCATGGGTGGTACTGCATCAACCTGTGCAAGGCTGGTCAACCTTCTCTTTGATCTAAACTTCTGTACTCTCTCCCTGTGCAACACAATGCACCAAAGTAGTCTTAAAATCACAAATGGCTTATGATGGATTTGAAATGCATCAGAATATTGAATCAAAATAATACCTGTTCAATCTTTTAAGTCTCTGAACTTCATAAAGACTGCATGCAAATTGAGGTACACTTCTTTGCATTGGTTTTATTTTTCTATCTTCTCTGTACAGAATATATTTGTCCTTGTCAAGTTTTAATTTCTCTCTACGAATTCTTTGCCTTTCTGCGTCTGTTTTGGCCATTTTACTGTCTTATCAGGACAAAAAAGACTTAACGTGTACATTTTTAAATATAATAACCTTTACTTCACTGAGTGTACTTTGGTAATAAGATCCTCCCAAATAACTACTTTTATGCTTCCACTTGTGTCAGCAATTAGTGCCTCAACCATTTTCAACTTAGCCTTTCCAGCTTGAACTTCTGTTTGATCACTCATGTCAAGCACCTTCGSCTTAAAGTACTCCAGTTGGCCATTGCACAGAGACACTGTGACTCCGCCCAATTGGAGGTGTGATTTTGTCTGTATTCCTTTCTCGGCTATTCCAGTGCAATGTTCAATTCGAAATTATGGCGGCGAGTAGAAGGTTCGAGTTCAAAGTTGAGTATGGAGGCGGGGGAAGTTTTCGAGCAATTTCTGCAAATGGTCCAGGAAAGAATCATTTTATAATATCCCTACCACTTTCAACAATCTCATCTATGACGAGAGATCTCAAATCACTACTTATGCTCTTCCCCTACGAGCCTATACGAGCCAATCCGAGCCAATCCGAGCCAATCCGAGCCGAGCCTACGAACCTATACGATCCGAGGCGAGCCGAGCAGAGTCGATGTGAGGTCGATATGAGGTCGATGTGGGGTCGATGTGGGGTCGATGTGGGGTCGATGTGGGGTCGATGTCAATCTACACTAGAATGTATACTAGATCTATACTAGATTAATCTTTGACGTAAAATATAGGATGTGGTGCAATCCAGCAACCTAAAACATAGATATAGATGACCACCCCTCCCCCTACAGCACCTCACTTAGAATAGCTATGACATCACCCTTTGGGCTGTGCTAAAAATAGATATGATCTATCCGTAAGGGGATCTGGTAGATCGCTCCGGAGTTGCTATCGTTACCAGAACGGCTTCTGATTGGTTCTCAAATCCTATGACATCATTTTATAAGGGTGACGTCATTGCAAGGGCTGATCCGCGATCCACCCTGATCCACGATCCACCTGATGTAGAACTGGAACCTCACTGGAACCTAACTATAGAATACGTCACCGTTATTGCGGGCCCGGAGTAGGGTCTAGGGGAGAGCACCGGATGCAGGTACTTCATATCTACTAATTGTTGTTACTATTATGGATTAATACGCCGCTCATCAAAATCCGAGACTTTCGTTTGATCAATGTAATTCAATAGTAAGCATGCTAAATTGAATTTGTTATTATACCTTTGGCATCCATTAGAAAGCCATTAACATCCAGAAACTCCTTCTGGGGACGAAGTGACAGTAATGTCTCTCTAATATCCGAGTTCTCTACTCAGCCATGCAAGCTCTTCTCTGACTTTTTGCTTGATGTCAGCTGTGAAACAAAATGATTTAATTACTTCCAGTGCCTCACCAGTAAAAGTACCAAATGTTCCCAAGCTAACAAATGAATGATTATCATCAGCCCCTATATCACCACCACTGTGTACATGGTCACGTAGCAAACTTAGAGCCTTGTCCACTACAGCTTCAGAAGGACGGCAGATTAAGGAAAAATGGTCTTTAAGATTGTTGCACTGGGTATTTTGTACAAGTTTGATATCACAATCTTTGATATATGCCACTGGTGGAATGTTGAGTGAAGCAAGTTGTCCACGTGTTAGACCAGGATTTCTACACAATAACTGCAGTGGGTCAGTCGAGCTTAGTGTGGTCGTGGACACTGGAGGAGGTGGAGCTGCTTGTTGACTGGGATTCTGACGTGACACTGGAGGAGGTGGAGCTGCCTGTTGACTGGGACTCTGACTTGACACTGGAAGAGGTGGAGCTCCCTGTTAACTGAGACTCTGACGTGACACTGGGGGAGGTGGAGCTGCCTGTTGACTGGGACTCTGACGGGTCACTGGAGAGGGTGGAACTGCTTGTTGACTGAGACTCTAACGTGACACTGGGGGAGGTGGAGCTGCCTGTTGACTGGGACTCTGACGGGTCACTGGAGAGGGTGGAACTGCTTGTTCTTTATTTGGTCTTCATGCTCTGGATCGAGTTCCCAGTCTACATCGGCCCTTTCTTCATTGTCGTTGGCAGTATTATCGAAGTCATAGTAATATGTCTGAGTACCTAGAATCAAWATACTTTTATTACTGAAACAGTGAATGATATTATTTAATTTTTAATTTGATAACAGCATCCTTACTTGTAGTGATCATTTGCCCTTTTTTTACTTTCTCTCCTAAAGCACCAAGTAGCTCTTCTTCTTTTTTTTCCATCCTGCGGATTTTTGTTTGCAAGCATTTCACCTTTCTCTTGGAGAGTTTTAGCTTTTCTTCGATTTCTCCATACTTTGCAGCTTGATCCTGATAAATTTACAATTTGAAAATTTTGAAAAAAAAACTGTGACTTGCTTGAATGCAAATGAAAAAAGTGTTTCTTTGAACTAAATGTTTGTTGTATAAGGTTACACTGTCACTAGTTCTGCAGGCCCCTGACTAATAATTGGCCCTAGAATACCCTTTGAAAAATCCTTACACATTAACGCCAATTATACTTACTTTTTCCAGGGTTTGTTCTTGGAAATCTTCGTTGCAGGTGGAAGTACCTGGGATTTCCACTTTCACAGATGATTCCACAGTATCCATTACTAAGATATTAACACTGTCACCAGACTCGTCGATAACCTCGTCATTTTCCGAAACATTTATCTGAATCATCGTATTTTCAGTCGTATCTCCAGTCGCATTATCAATCGTATTTGAATCATCGTTTGTCGACTTGTTGATTGCCATGTCTCGTATTATCTGTGGAAAAGATACGTGGCCWTTTTAGATGATGATTATTCGACATCGGCCGGCTATATATTTTACGGTAGTAGGATGGGTTTTTTCGCTTTACATAATTGTTTATCCATACCCGTTCATATAGTGTTTTTGAGATGACTTACTATTTCAATGTAATTCAAGCAAATCAGAACATATCTTATTTGATAGATTTTCGCACATTACTGTCAGCTGATATTCATAACAGAGTTGAAATAAATGACTTTTGTTGYGGTAAACACAACATAAACGCCAAATTGTTCTAAAGCATTTTTTCTAATTTACGGATTTCAGGAAATTAAAGTTAAAGAGTGTAAATCTTGGTTTGTAATCTATTGATTGAAATATTATGACTCATTGATCAATAAACAATGCATGATGTTGGCGCAATCTGGTCGCTTTAATATGTCGGCGCGCCGCGAAATTTTCACGCAGAATGAATATAAAGGTTATTAAAAAGCAAGCAAGAGTACTGCTGATCCTAGAAAGTTATGATAGTAATTGCAATTTTGAATTCTCACCACTACCTACCTAAAATCTTAACAGTATTATAATTTTTTTGGCTAAAGCGTAGAGAAGTTTGTGCTACTCACCTGTCGGCGGCTTCTGTCACTGATAAGTTCGTCCTGACTGTTGATTTCGGGCTTCCAAAGAGTTGGTACAGATCCYGGCTTTAGTATTCTCTTTGAGYCTTCAAMATGCACTGCTCTTTCAAAGCAGCTATCCTCAAAATGCTCAGAGCACACAGTGAAACGATTTTCAGGCTCGAAGTTAATGCGGTGCGTCGTGACAAAACGCTTCCACTTCGCGCGTTCCAGCTTGTTAATCGGCGAAGAATGCACTGAAATGCCATTTTTTGGATCAGATTTATTACTGCATCCCTGAACCACACAACAATTAGATGGCATTCTTAATAGTTTTTAACTTTTGAGGAAATAAATACAGATAAAGCTCCAAATTACCGGCGCGCTACCCGTACTTCACATGTATTTCCTTAGCAAATTTCTCACGTTGGTTTGTTTGGGTTGAGTAAGTGACGTCATATCCGCTCGACCCAGACTGCCCCGAGAGAACAGAGAAGCGACAACTGATTAATGGCGGCCACGAAGAAAAACGAAAATTTAACGGACTTCTTGTGGGAATATGTAAAAAAAGTGCTCAGGAAATATTTATGTAAGTAATATTGATCATAAGAGCGACTTTTTGAAGAGTTTTGAAAATTTGACCAATTTTCGTGCTAGTCCCCCTTTAAACAAACTGTTTTGAAAGTACGTGGGAGTAGAGGTTTCTAGCATCTCCATCCCAATCTCACTCTGGCCACAAAGATCTTTCTTAACATTATCTGGCACAACTACTTTGGTCACCAGGTTAAATAGGTTCATCACTCTCTTCGGTGAAGGGCTTGGAGAATCTTTTAATGGTGGTCGTCAGCTGTTTGATGTTCTTTTCTTCTCGTACTAATACAGCTGTAGTTAGACTGTGGTGTTCCCCCGTCTCCTTCTGCCCCGACAGTCCTGCCATGTTCTTTGCTTCCTTGGCTAGCCTTGCCATTTCCGGAGCGATGAGAAAGAACTAATTGCGTGCGTTCGGGATAAGGGTAATGCCAACGAGTTCTTCTGAAACTTTCATGGATCGATTAATGTGCTCAAGAGCATGATCAGCACCTAGTGCACAAAATGATGCTTGACTGTTCTTGTTGAGCAACCAGTTTCCTTTTTTGAACTCGTCGATAACATTGGACTCTTTCAATGCTTCCATCTCTGCTAAATAAATAGGAATCCTTCGTGCATAGTTAATCATATCATGAGCAAAGAAGATTCTTGATAACTTCGCCAGAGTTTTAAGGTGTACCTCCCAGTCACCAGTTCTTACAGCTCTGATAAAGGCAAGCATCTCCATCACCATGCGCATGTAATGTTGCATAACCTTGAACATGGGCTTCTTGTCATGCGCCATATCAAAGGTTGACATCTTTTCTAGTACTTTTGAAGAGTCAATAGTGTTTAACATCCGTGATCGAAATTTCCTCATTAAAGTGCGTGAAAAGTTTCTAAATAGCTATTTCTGCATTCTCACTCAATATGGTGACGATACATTAAAATGCAATAGGTATAAAGGGGATTTTAAGATGTGGACTCGTTTCCATGCTGAGATACTACGGACGATTTTCAATCCCCCCTAAAACATGTGGGTGCGACTTATAAAGCTGCCGACAAATATTTTCATGTTCCTTTAGGTCCCCTTAACACATCTAGACTAGTGGCTTGCTTTCAGCACGAAATTCCCATGGGACCTTATTTCACGACGTTTGCTCCCTGACTATCCTCCATGGCGGCTTTGACAGCCTCTGTCCAATCAAACCCGTCCGTGTCTTTCAATTGTAAAATGGGTTATGTTTCAAACGACGCATCCACTACATGTGGGTCGCATTTTCTCCCTTTTTAAAATCTAGTTTCTTCCCTTGGGCAAATTATTGAGAGTAGCGTCCGTTAGTTTATCTTGCTTTATCAAAGGGGGAGGGAATCTCCCTTCCCTTGCAAACCTTTTAGGAGACACTGTTTGGTTTAAAACATGTTTATTACACTCCAAGAATATGCATTACATACACCTAGTTGCCAGAAGGTTGTCATAGAAAGTAATTTTGTGAGAAAGGAATCATTAAAAAGACATAAGGAAGTTAGTGGAGCTGAACTCTTTTTTTTTTCTTTTTCTTTTTTCTTTTTAATTCTATTCTCACTAAATTGCAGAAGTTCTTTCTTCCTATGATAACCTTCCTGCAACTAGGCGTATGTTCAATAAATAGAGATTTACAAAATCATGCGTCACTGCATGCAATCAATGCAGAATTAAATTTTATTCTTGAGTTACTTGGCAAATGTGACCACTTCCAGGCACGGACAATGGGAAACACGCCCTTCGACGAGTAAATGTCGCCTCAGCAATACGAACTTGCATCAAAAGCATAATCCAAGTCATTAGTGTAGTACTGTTTGTAAAGTTTTTCGAACTTGGGGCAATCGTAATTCTCTAGGTTTACGAAAGGGATTTGCAGTTTTTAAGGCATGTTCTTTTCGTAGTGCACGCCCTTGTATCTGATGACGCCTTGTCCACACTCGTTCCACCAGGTACAAACGATATCGTACATTTCCGCGAGGGGTCAGTATAGTTGAATGTTAATCTTGGTATATGGTTCGTCATCCATTGGGCATTGCTGCGTTCTTTACTTCTGCCATCGTGGTACCCAATGGGGAAAGTGAAAATCACTCCTTCCACTTGTTGTTTGATGAAGTTATAAAACCCAGCTTCTTTTGGTCAGAATTCCTTGGTAAGCTTGAAACCCATTCAAATCTAGTATTCCTTGGACGCCTTCCATCTTTTTTGTTCGTCACTCTGCCCTAGTAGTAAACATTTTAATTTAGTTCGTTTTGATAATTAAAAAGATTTACTGTTTTTGACTTGAGACTGGTTGTTGTCGTGAAAGATTTAGTTTTCAGCCTGTTTCACTTCAAAGAAATCGTCAATCGTCAATCGCCGAAACATACGAAGAGCTACCGGCTTATGGTCCAGGATATATTTCGGAATAAGTTTCTCGGCTATCGCTAGCGCTAGCTTGTTGTGTTACATCAAATCCACTCTCAAATTATCTCTAGCTTTTAAATATAGATGGCGTTGAGCCATCTGTTCCTGGGTAGACTGTAGTCCTGCGTTGTGGGACACGTTGGCGTCCTTGACTATAACGAYGTCGCCAACTTTTACGTTCCGTCGAGGATTCGTCCACTTCTGCCGCTCCTGCATACTGAGTAAGTACTCCTTTCGCCAACGAGTCCAGAACCTCTGTTCGAAAACCTCTCCTCTAATCTTCCTACATTTTTCACAAGAAGCGATAGCATTGCCTACGGCAGATGAGCCTCCGAGGATCCAGTATCCGTTGGAACGAACTTCATTGAGTGTCATCCCCTTACCCTGATGCTTGATGCGCTCGTAATAGGGCTTGATGATGAGGTTGGTCAGTATTTTTTTGTACTTTATTGGTTGGTCACATAGTTGACTTTGGGTAGAATTGCGGGGTGTTATACTTTGTACGACCTCTAACATGCAGGATTCCATCTTCATCGTYTTATTTCGATCATAAGCTGCTCTTTTTGCTTTTCTGTTTTCTCTCTGTCAATTTTCAAGCTTTCTCTTTATTCTATGTCTTCTACTAAACCACGTGGACTACTGCCGTCTGGGAAAAAGAGTTGTTTTCCACKTTCAATGAGGGAGTCCAATTAGGTATCAAGGGGTAGAGAAACTTCTCTTGTACCACCACCCGGTGATTGTGGAATAGCAACATATTGCCCTCCTTCTCATCATAGTGCAGCCATCCAAGCTGTACCTTTATCATAGTTGCCTTTGTCCTGGGTCTTTTGCTGTTGATGCTACTACTGGGGTCTTTCTTCTTTCTCCTTTTATGTTTATTCTGATCAAGGATGGTCTGTAATACAACTTTCTTTTCATTAATTTTTTTCTCCTGCATTTTGAACATTCGTTTTTTTCTTTGCAGAATGCTCTAAGGCTTAAAAGGTCGCCTTTCTTAGAAAAGCCAAAATCTATCAAGTCTTCTGCATGAAGTGTGGCTATTATTGTCATCTGGAGAAAAAAATGAAACAAATCATTGAATATTCAATGTAATTAATAAATTTTTGTACAATTTTGTTCAGACATAAACAAGCATAAAAATTTCACATTTATTTACTTTGTTGGCTAAAATAATTCTCCAAAAATGGTGAGATTATTTTTCAAGAAAATCTTTTGGTTCTCCCTTATTATAATGAAAGCAGCCTAATTGTTAGTTAATACGCTATGCTAACTAATATTATATGATAGATTTTCAAGAACGCGTGCTCTAATTGGCTGAAAAGATATGTTTTATCAGAGTATAGAAACATAGATATGACGTCAAAACCATGTTTTCTATACAAAAATAAACATAGAAATGATGTCACAGGAATTCGGTTTTTCAATTTAAAGCATTTTGATATTTTAAATTTGTATATTTGTATGTCGTTTTGAAGCACATTTGATTGGTACGACACTTTGACGAGTAAAGCTTTTATTCGTTTGTGCTGCGACTATTACAATGACCTTATTTGGCTATACTAGAAGCTTTTTGCTTGACCCGTGATAGTGTTAGAGAAGTTAAAAGATAATCTTAAACCTTTTTATAGTCGAACAAAAATGAACAAATATTACTCTTATTCTTACTTTACTTACTCGACTGGTTAATCGCTTGCACTTTTTCATATGGGTAGTTGGATCTTAGAATCGGTACTTTAGTATCTTGCTCTTTTTTAATTGTCGTAGTGCATGTTCCTTCTTCTCGCCTATCGGTACCCTGAAAACAACAATTACCAGTAAACGAGGATAACTGTGGACTTTGCTTGCCACTGTTTGGCGAACAAATGCTGGTTTGCCATAAATGCAGAACCCCATGCCCCGAATGCCGAACAGAAGTTGGCCTGGAGGTCCCTCAAGAACTACGTTCCGCTCATGAAATTCTGTCAATGGTAGTCGATGGGGATGACTCAAACCAAAGCGATGAAGAAAGCACTACGTCCTCGGTTTCCGCCGCAGTTTCAGCAACCCCACGAAAAAAAATGCGTTTAAGATCAAGAAAGTAATATTAAATAAGTTATAAAGCTTGAAATGATTGTACCATAAGACTGGGTTTACAGAATAAAAAATCTCTGCAAGACTTGATGACTAGTAGCGTCCGAGTCCGACATAAAAGAAGCATCGTTTTCTTATTTACGTATATGTATTGGGTGTCATCCTGGTTCGTGTTTTTGTTATCAGTTTCAATCTGACTCCAGATACAAATACAGTAGTAAAATCCTTTATTCACTCGTTAGAGCTTGATACTTGTTGCTTGCGCTTACACGTGTTCTCTCTTATGTCTCTGGTCTCTATATACATGTCACTTGATACTATACTAGATTATGTCACACAACTAACTTATTGAAAGCGTGACAGTTCATACACTTCACACTCTCYGCTGCTTTAAACGAGAGTACTATCACTACATAGTAGTTTAGTTCCACTGCGATGTAAACTTATCTTACTTTTGAACTTTTTTCATGTTTGTAGTTTGGGGTGATCAAGTCCAAACGTTTAACACAAAGCTCCTTATTGACTAAGTTCCCCTGATGGCAAACCGTACACTTCCATCAGTTATCCAGTGGATACCGGGTGTTTGAACCCCGTCTGAGTACTAAGGCGTACTTTTGTTGATACTACTGTGTCTTTTCTTTTTTTTCGCTGATAAATGTGGCTTAAGTTTCTCCTTATATAATGTCAATTCGAATGATTAGAAACCGAAGCTAATCAATGTCCAATCAGTATCATAATTAACAACAATGCTTAAAAATACTAAATGTTCCTATAAGTGAGTTCAGTAGTTTGTCGTAATTCCATACGGACAATGGGGTGGAGCAATCCATGGGTTGTAGATTCGCATTCTACCACAGTATGGAGTTGGCTGAGTCAACTGGGGGTAAAACGGCTGATATGGC